GTAAGCAATCGTGATTGTGACATAAAGGACGGGCTTTTAAGGGCTGATGTGAGCATTCCAGATTTAAAAAATTAGGTCTCGGTTTGGGAGAGATTATCTCCTATGGACACGGGTGTGAATTCTTCTCAGATTCAAAAGTCTTTTGCTACAGTTGTTGGAGGTGCTCCATCTTCGGAGTTGACCTATTATCCGGTGGAAAAGAGTGTGACTCCAAGGATCCAATTCCCTTTAGACGTTACTAGAGGTATGGCAAAATCTTTCCAATCAGTTCTTTATGGGTATTTTCTGGGAACTAGATTTCCGTTTCCTCTTGTGTTACGTGCGGTTCAAAATGCGTGGGGTAAATTTGGTTTTAAAGATGATATGGTGAATGATCTTGGTTATTTCTTCTTTCGTTTTAATGATGGAGGTGGATGTGCTCAAGTGGTTGAATCGTCACCTCTAATGATAAGAGGGGTGCCATTATTTGTTTCTCTATGGGACCCGTCTAAAGGGCTTTCTAAACTGGAACATTCCTCGTGCCCTTTATGGATCAAATTTTTTAACATCCCTCTAGTTGCATTTAATAGAGAGGGAATTAGTGGTATTGCTAGTGCGGTTGGGTTCCTTTACGTTTGGATGCTTGTACGGCAAGCACTTGTGATAAAGCTTGGGGGAGAACGAACTTTGCAAAGGTTATGGTGAATGTTTGGGCTGTGGGGAAATTGCAAAGGTTACTCAAGGTACACTCTTTATTATTGCTTGGGACCCGTCTGTTTTGCCCTTGATTGTGATTGAACAGCATTTGCAATATGTGAATTGTGAAATCTGTATTGTTGGTAAGCTGGAGCCTATCTTTTTTACGTTTATCCATGGGTGTAATACGGAGGGTGGAAAGGAGGGATCTTTGGAGGGCTCTTGGGAATTTTAAAGTTTTTATCCATAATAAAGCTTGGATAGAAATGGGAGATTTTAACTCGATGCTTTTCCCTCATGATGGGTTGGGAGGGTCGTCTAGGCGTAACTCGGATATGGAAGAGTTCGACGTTTGTCTAGAACATGTAGAGCTTTTTGATATCTCTTATCAAGGGTGCCAATACACTTGGATTCAGAAGCCATCAAGGGATGGGGGTATTCTTCGCAAGTTAGATAGCAAAGAAGGGAAGAGGCCCCATCCCTCGCAGAGAAGGAGAAGGTTCTTCATCACAACTCCCTCAAGTCCAAGAAACTTCCACGGGTACGTTTGACGCTCTGCAAGGAACCGTCAAACCCATCCTTGTGGAGGGGTCAACCCAGAGGCCAATTCTGAAAGAAGAAGAAGCCAAGGTGCCAGAGTCCGCCACGGTAGGAAGGGTGTCTGAAATATTCGAATCAATGAGCAAGATTCCAATGCCAAAAGTCCGAACAGAGCCTGTTACTACTTTGGAAGAAATTCAAGTGTTGAGGTACTCTGCAGTAGACACAGAGCCTCCCTATGATCCAGAGCTAACAAGGATCCCTTCTACCGCAGCCAAGTTCCAGTTCTCTAAGCTCACAAGGCCTCGTGAGCAAGCCTTCTCAGAGCACATGATCACCTCCCTAGAGACAATTTCTCCAACGACTATGCTAAAGAAGAAGGTGCTCTATGCCCAGTATGTAGTAAGGAGGGAAGATGGCAACCTGTATACATTCACAGACACTGACCTCCACAACCTCTGTGTGTTTGATGTCATCTACATGCACAAAATTCTCAACATCTACATGGAGAGGAGGTCAAGCTACTCAATATCGCTCAGAAGGCTGCTTGAGGTCATGCACGCACAAGTTAGATATTACAGCCAGAAGGACTTCGAGCTCGTGGTCAGGTTAGTCCAAAAAGATCTAAAGATCTCCCCTTCATACAGCAGGCCTGGTTGGATACTTAGGTATCATCCAAACTCCATTATTCACAACCCCACTTTTGGTTTTGTGTATTTGGATAAGGATGAAATCCTAAGGTTCTATGATCCAACAGAATCACACAAGTACTCAACAGAGACGCTAGAATGGATTTTCCGAAGAGCAGCGGCAGAAGTGGACAAAGGACTTCTAAGGATGAGCGAAGTGTCTCGCATCTTGGAGGCGATCAAAATGCAAATCAACTTCAGA